AACATCAATTAGAGTAATTAAAGAAGGGTCAGACAGGAAATATGGACCCACTAGCATGCTTCCACCTCCAAAATCTGCCTTCAAAAATTAATGTTCAACTTTCGGCATCTAGAGAACGGTCTGCGGATGGGGCGGGGCTCCGGTAACTGCGACGTCATGCGTTGGGGAAGCCGGGGTTGCAGGACCGAGCCTCTCTAACCCTCCGATCATCTGGTGTTGGTGTTGGTGGGGTGCCCGGCGCGTCTGAGCTTGGCTAGTGGTGTTAGACGAGTTCGAGCCGTGCGGGCGCAGGGAGTTCGTTTCGTTGTTCTCTCGGTTGGAGGTGGTCGACTCCGAGTTGATTCAGGATTTGGGTTCGGCTTCTGTATAGGCAGTTCTGCAGTTTCAGAAGTGGCTCCTCGAGCTTGGGATCCTTCTTGGTGATTTATTGCTTCTCTGCTGTTCAACCCGCTTGTTTGCTGCGGAAGGGCATGCCCAGTTTTATTTAGTTTTTTCTTATTTTTTGTTTTTTGAGTCTGTGTTGTTTCTCGTTAGGTGTTTTTGGTTTGGGCCGTTGGCCCCTGTTGTAGTGTGTTTTTGGTTTGGGCCGTTGGCCCCTGTATTGTGTGAGCCCGGCCGTGTTCGGGTTTTCTCCTGTTGGGAGCGTTCCATATTCTCCCGTGGGGAGCTTTGTGTTTCCTTGTTTGTGTTGTAGTGCCGGTTGTGTTTGAGTCTTGTTTTTGGTTTCTAGCTTGGCTAGCTGCAGTTCTAGGCGGTCTCTGACCTGTCCTCCCACTTTTTCAGCCATTGGTTGTATCTTCAGCTATGGGCTGTACTTTGCACAGTTGTGCGTTTTGATTTATAATATTTCTATTGTTCTGTAAAAAAAAAGAACGATCAAGAGCGAACAGAAAACGAAAGAATAAAAAAAAAATAAAAAATAAACAAACTTCTTCTTCTTCTTCATTTTTTTTTTGTTTGTTTTTCGAACGAGATACTCACAAACATCTTCAAATGCAAGAAGATTGATTCTATGGTCAGGTAGGTTCTTTTTTGGTTTGTACATACCTAACTTCAGGTATGGCTTACATGAATGACAAGTGTCCATAAGGATTTGTAGAAATACTGAAATGCCCTTACTAAATAAAAACTTGTAATGAATTTACGTAGAAGGTCTTTAAGTATTATTTTCTTAACATTGACCCTAAACATAATTACATATTTAAATTAAACCACCATACTTTCATAAATTGCATATGAATTAACCTAACACATTTAAACCCAAAATAACATCTTCGTTCTCGATAATTATTCTCTGGGCGATTATCTTCAATCACAACGAAGAATTCTTCTTCAATGTTTGTTCAATCTAGCGATGAACCTGCACACACACAAGATCAATTGTTCACACCCAGAGCTGAAGGTAAATAACTAATCGATATGAGCTTTCGTGTTCTTCATTAATTATATTGACCAATCAGTTCTTCGTGTTCTTCATTTCTGTTATTCATATTACTCCCTATTCATTTTTTTGTGCATCCATCATGTATAATCGATGGTCATTACGAATGATGTTTGAATGTGTGTGTAGTATGCGTGTCATTAAGAACATGACTTCTATCAATGATATTGTGTTTGGATGTTTAGCGTAATGTTTTAAACAGGACCGCTAGTCTGATTAGTCATATGAATTGGGGTTGTGGGTGTAGCACGAAAATTCTCTGATATTGTTGTCTTATCTTTAACAAGCACATTATATGTTCGATGATATGTCTTAACAAATACCGTTTTTCTGAGTAGTCATGTACTCATGTAATGTTGTTCTAAATGCTATGGAGAGCCTCCTCGGTGTCTTGATGACTAATAGGACTTTCAATAGTCACGTTCTGTACTTGATAGAATTCATGTTCAAGTTTGAGTCCCATTAAAGTAATATTTCAAAGTGTTGCAGGACTGCATTCTTGACTTCATTCATGAGTTGTATTGCAGATATAAATCATGTTTTCTTACTTATTTTTTGTGTTGAGTAATGTATCACACTTTTGGGATTTGAAATCCTGTTTGTTCAAATGTACCACATTGCACACACAAATTTCTGTTTACCTTATTGTTTGAACTCTGTAAGAGATCACACATATAGGCAAATTTGGCAGTAATTATATTATCACACTACAAGATGTCCTATAAGTTTAATCTCCTATATGTTTCCCAAATTGTTCATAATTCAAAGATTTAGTGAATTTTGAACTCTTTCAAATGGCTGTTCCAGGACCTTAAAAATCGTGTAGTGGTGGCAGAGGAAAGATGATAGGAAAACTATATACTTCAAGCACAAGGAAAATCCCATTGCTCACAATACTCTTTACAGAACCATTATAAGGCCTGGAAAGCAGTGTGAATAAAGTTAGCCAATTTATGTCAGCTCCTTTAGATGAACACTGAAAAGCAGTCAAGAGATTACTCTCAAATATCTCAGTGTCACTCTTATCACAATTGCTTTGGCTATCTATCCTGTGTGGCATGCTAGAACAAAGCATATTGAAATTGATATACATTTTGTTAGACAGCAAATAGCAAGTCGCAATCTAATGGTCCAGCATTTTCCATCTATTGATGATGTTGTTGATATCTTCACCAAACCTTTTCACCAGGTTTGAGGAGCAAATTGAACATTTTTCAGAAACCTAGATTCGAATTGAGGGGGAATGTTGGAAATCGTCCACAGCAGACATGGCTTTCATCTCAGCCATTGATCATCATGATCAAAGCATGCATGAGGACACAACCCTAGGTTGAAGCTCTATTGTGTGCATGAAGACAAAAGTGTAGTTGTATGGGAAAGAGTCATTTGGCTAAGTTGTAATACGTTTATCAATCCCTAGAAATCTAATGTGTTAGATTAGGATTGCTTTAGCTTTATATATTGCAGCACCTGTAATGTTATATGTATAAAAATAGATGAGCAACATTGATAACTTTAACTCAAACGAAGATTGATCAATACAAGTAGAATGTTGTTGAAAAAAATTAAAGACATAAAAACAAATTTACAACAATTTGATAAATCCACTTCTACAACAATTCCTACTACAGTTCTGATTTGGTCCTTCTTCATTGACCATGACTTCCAATTGGGTCAATGTATTCAAGTCCCTTATCCTGACTTACATCTGGATTGCAAAATGAATTCTCTTTACCAACAAAAGACTGTGATGGTTGGGTATTCATTTTTTTTATTGACAAGTGGTTGTCTTATGGCCGAGTTCACTGCAAGAACAATCAGTTCGTTATCATTAATTGTACATAAAATACTCAATTTTTTCCTATTTTTTTGTAATTACATGCAGTAAAAACAGAACGTGTAATATATGGCATTATGTTCGTACCCGCACGATTTGCATCTTTGTCTTTGTGATGGGGGTGCGCCTCTAGATCTAGCCATACATGGGTCGCCTATCTTTTCATTGTTTTTTGACCCTCTCACAGGGTCCTTAATTATTGATCCATTTGTGAAATCATTTTTTGAGGTTCCTGTATTGGCTTCTTCTTTATTGTCTTGGTTCTGAATTTGACGTACCGACTTCGTTCATAGACTCCTTGGAACACATGTCAGTTTCGAAACACCTTTTGCGGTATGGATCGACAGAAGCAGGTATGAAGTGAAATTTTTCTCTCAGATTTTTTCCTGCTAAGGTCGTCCACCTAGGAATTATGCATTGTTGTGGTACCCCCTGAACATGCAAGTTTTTCAGCGCAGTAAACAGGTGACTACATGGCAGGCCATCAGTTTTCAACATTTTACAATCACACATAATTTTGCCTTCATTTAAATTTACTTCCACCGACCTCAGCCCTAGTTGCGGTGAACCATATTTTTCCATTTTGAAGACAGTTGACCCACCGTTATAAATATTCTTCTCAATTACAATATTGTTGTGCTCGTCATCAATCTCCCTTCGAACTTTTACAAAAACTGAGCATGTATAAACTTCAGCAAGTTGTACTTGAATCCTGTGAAGTGGTGCTGCTTGAGGAATATTTGGGGGATTCATCTCCGAGTCTTCTTGCTTCTGAAAAAAAGTGGACCGCAAGAACTGAACGATCCGAAGGAAAGTTTTAAGCAGCTCTGTAATTGTGCTACTCGATTTACCCTCATGCTTGAAGAGTGCATTCAAAGATTCGGCTCTTTGTGATGTTCGGGTCATCCCCATAGTTGTTTGTCTTGTTTTTGTTGCAATTTTTGGTATCATTTGGTTAGTCTTTTTATCTCGTCTATAGGTATTTTAGTTGGTTTTTAGTTCGTTTATAGTTTATTGTGTGTTTTGTTCCATTTTGGTTCTCTTTGTGTTTTTCGTGTGTTTTTCCCGTTTTTCTTCTTGTTTTGGTGTGCAGGTTGGACGTCCCGTGAGGATTAGATTTAGACGAGGAAAGCATGGTTGTGTAGACAGGTGCGTTGGCTACACATAGGAAAAAGCGGAGCTCGATTTCGAGTTCGGATGAGTCCGGACGGGCCAAATATGCGAATTCGTGCACGGAAGCCGTGAACTTGAAGTAAAAAGCTCTGGGTGAATAAGTTTTGAAGAAGAAGTTGGATTTGAGATTACAAATGCGTAGAGGGCTTCGTTGGCTACGCATAGGAAAAAACGGAACTCAATTCCGAGTTCGGACGAGCCCAAACGAGCCCGAAATGTGAAGACAGGCATGCTGTCCAACCACCGCGGCGCGGCGATCCTCCACGGCGCGAATGAATCTCCTCCACGGTGTGGAGGACTCTTCCGGCGTGACAAACACTCCTCCACGGCGTGGAGGACTCTCCCGGCGTGACAAACACCCCTCCACGCCATCTTAACGCCGCGAGACACTTCACGAGATACCTTCTGAGCTTGAGCTTCTTCCTCCACGCCGCGAGGGACGCCACGCCGCGAGCCAACACCTCTCCACGCCGTGAGAAGCGATCCTCCACGCCGCGAGCAGCCCTTCACGCCGCGAGACGCCGCCCTTCACGCCGTGGCCACCTGAAGGAGTGCGATTCCACGTCAAAGGTCGAGCAGAAATTAGGGAGATTCCTCCCTTTTGGTTCTTTTTCTTCCGGTTTTCCTTCCATATATTCTTCATTCCATCATCTATCTCTCCTCCCTTCTCATCATCTGCTCTTCTCCCCTTCTTTCTTCTTCGGTTCTTTTTCTTCATTTTTTTTCTTTTATTTTTTTTCTTTTGTTTTTCTCTTTCAATTCATGTATTTTTGTTTGTAATTTGGAAGCTCGGTTGGAGGCACGAACTTGACATTTTTCCGGCGATTTTCCGGTAACATTTCGTTTATGTTGTGTTTATCTAAAATTCGTTCTATATACATTATGTTCGTTCAATCTTGCGATAGAAAAATAGGTACCTAGTTTAGGGCTTATTATTTCGAGTTTGAATTGATTGAATCGATGTGTTGGATCGTGTTTAGATTTTGTTTTGTGTTTGTTTTGTTCGTCTAATTGTGTTAAGGTTCGATACGAATTTATCCAATGTAGAGGTCTCGACTTTGGTAAAAGTGGGACGATCTAGGGAAGGTTCGTGTTTGAACACTTAGGATCGCTAGGCTCGTGTATTTTCTTTTTCGCCATTTTTATTTTAGTCAAGTTATGTGGACTCCATATAACCAAGTTTCGATTTTTCTTTCGTTTATTGCATTTTAATTATTTTCTCGTAGATGTTAGTTTATTTTAGTTCAATCATTCCCAATTATCTCGTTAGAATGTTTAGGATTTTATTTTCGGTTTTGTGAATTTGACAACTAGATAGTAAACGAAGCTCCGAACAATCTTCCTTTGAGAACGACCCGAGTCGGGTAACTCGGTTACCACATGCCCAAAAATACTACAAAAAAATGGCGCCGTTGCCGGGGAAGGCGAGTAGGACGCCAAGTTTACTATCTAGTTGTCGTTTGTTTCCGTGTTTCTCTTGCTTTTTGTGGATTTTGCTTAATTTTACGTGTTTCTTTTGATTATTTGCTTAATTTCCATTTCTCTTGATTTGTAGTATGTGTGTTCTTGTATATATCTTGTTGTGTTAGTTGTGTTTTTTGTATTTTCTTTTCTTTGCCTCGTGTGCCGTTGGGTTGT